TCAAAAGAATGAATTTTATTAAGTCTGTGTAAAAAAGAGTCGTAAAGATTTTTAAAAAAATTTTTAATTGCGTGTAAGACAGGAATTTTAATAAAAGTATAATGGATTTAAAACGAAAAGTAATATGTAATGGGAAGTAGGAAAAGTGAAAAGAGAAACAGTTGAGCAACAGTAACTTGAAGGTGAGTTCAACTATTTGGCGTATAAATAAAACTAGAATGAAAATTTTCATTTGGTTGTAACAAAAATACAGGGACTATTTATATACTTTTTACATGGATATTTACAATTTCTATGCATCCAGTAAATACCTCCAAATTTGATTTAAGTATTTCTTATTGTAAGTAACAATAAAATTGAAACGATTTAATATCTGATTTTTGGTGAAGTAAGTTAATAAAATTAAAAGGAACTTAATTATTAATGGTCATTTTTAGATATTGAATTTCTCGATTAATGTCTTCAACAGCAGTGCAAATATTTTTAATTCTCAGCATATGGTTGATAATGATGTTAGCAATTACTTTTTCAGAAATATTGGAATTCCAATGTACAAGTTTAATGATCTTTTATCAAAAAGTTTAATTTATTTACAACTGAGAAAAACAGTCATAGATTACAATATAGTGTTTTGAGTTTAAAAATGTAAAGCGATTCTTGTAATTTTTTTTTTTTTTTTTTTTTTTTTTTTTGGCAGGAGTAACAATGTCTAAAATTTCAGTTCTGACATTTTCAAAAATGTGGTGTTTAAAATGATGAGTTCGGCAATCTAATAGATATTAGAGATATTATTATTTGTTTTTATTATATATATATATATAATTCCCAGATAAAGGCAGGGATCATATTACATGGACAAGCAGGGGACAAGAGAAAAAAATGAAGTAACGAAAATTAAAATTTGGCTGCCGGATTCAAACATCAATTCATTTAATTTAATGTAGAATTTTTTAAACTGGACGAAAAAGCGAATGTTATAAGTGATACTGCACCATTCGTCTATCTAAACCATTCATTTATCCAGCATTCGTACCAGCCCCCCCCCCGGGAATTTTTACTTCCGAAATGAGCTGAAACGCTGTAGTGTACATACATATCCTTTCCCCAGAAAACGCACTGAAGAGCATACAATCCAGGAAATTTTGAATAATTCTGTCAGGGGGCCCCCTGGCCGATATGCTAACTGCCCCAGTGGATTCTCTGCCACGCTGTCGGCTGAAAGACAGAAAGCTTACCAGATTGTTACCCATCATTTAATTTACAACAACAAGTCTAACAACTGCACTTCTTCTTCATACGAATAAATTTTTAATGATTCATAGACACTCCTAAAAAAAAAGCAGCAATAAAAAAATATTTTTATTCTCCATATTTCTGATATTATTGAAAATATGAGTGGAAATTCATACTTTGATATGTCAACTGAAAGTAGTAATTAGAGTAATCAAAAATTCTTTGCGATCCGTATCTAGTATTCCGATCAGAAAGCACGAGAAATTCCATTCTTTAAAATTAATGACAACATCACTTTTGTGGTAGTTTACTTCATGTCTTATTTAACTGCAGAAATAATTAATCGAACCCTGCTATAGCGAAAGGAACCGAAAGTCTAGTTCATTATATCTGGGGCTTCACTATACCCGATCCGATAAGAAATAAGAAGGAATATCTCGCAAATAATGTAATGAATCAAAAGAAAAGGTAAGGGGTTAATTACACTTATTATTGCGCGCAATTACTAAATTTGTTTCGCCTTTTCTCCTTCCCCTCCAATTTTACCATAAGTTAATAATTTTAGGTGCTAATATTCTTCGCATAAAAGTCATGATTTAGATCTCTCTCTCTTCAATTACGCAACTTTCTCTAAAGTATATATTTATAATTAGCGTGTGTCTAAATAATGGCACATTCTGGCTTCTTTGAACAGTGAACTATTTCAGCAATGTTTCTTCAACATCATTATGCTTGGCCTTTCTCAGCTACTTTTTCTCGTATCCAACTTTATGTCTAAGAGCAAAAATTATAAAGTCTCGTTTTTCCCACATAGTCTGGATTCCCGGCAGATATCGGTTTGATTACATTAACTATCCATTTGCCTATAATACTCACTTTACCTTCAATTCAAAAAAGCGCTGTACGTTTATTGTTCGATAAACGCTACCAGTACAGAGTGATTTCAATCTTCGGAAACCAGCTATGAAAACTGCTACATATGGGCTAAAAACGTTTAGTAATCTATACGCTATTAAAGCGCATTAAGGAATGGGCCGATTTTTCACTTATGATTTTCAACAATTCGGAAAACCATGGTACAGTTCCCGCTGTAGGGCCATAGTTGCATATATCATGTTGCGAACCGAATTTAATGTTATTTAAGTAGAACTATATTTACATATATTTTCAATTAATACATGCTTTCCTACGTCATCACGTTAGTTCACTAGCTAGCAACTCATTGTATTGGTGTTTCTTTATAAGTATAACATATTAACAATTCCAGCATTAACATGCATTTACATATCAGGCATGCATCAGTGTCAAATACTTACAAAGCTTAGTTGCATTAGCAATATATATATTAATTCCCAAGCAGAAACTCTTAGTATCGCAATATCTGTACAATTGCACTAGTAATGTTTGCTTTAACTTACTTATTTGCATTTATCCATCCATTTTAGTAATGCTTGAGTATATACATGTGCTTATATGCAAATTTATAGTGTCTGTAACAGAAAATGGAGTATTGGTGTTAGGATTCTGCGCATCAAAGTATTTATTATAATTAATTATAACTTACTTCAATAACTAGCTCTGGTGCACACATCAACATATTTGGGACAACGTAATGTCCTTTTAAAAGTGTGTGTATACACGTGTATTTCTGTGTATATCTATAGTGTCTGTGACAGAAATTTAATTAAATGTAAAGTTTCTCATATGAACGATTAATCGGTTTGCACACAGTAATAATACTAATAGCAGGGAAACAGCAGCATTAATTTCACAGCCAACTTGTAGCTCCTATTCTCCTTCAAAATGTTTCTCCCTTTACAACTTACCTTCCAATTTTTGATTCTTTCGTTCGTTTACTCTTGCAAAGACAGAGTTCAAGGAACATGAACTAAGGTGACAAGAAGTAGTTATAATCATCCACAGAAATTAAACAGGCCAAACAAGCACATTTCCTAAGCGGACTGGCTGTCTTACCAGCGAAATATCCAAGGAGGTTAGAATAGAAGGAGGGAAGGTTCATTTCAAACGGTGAAGCTTGGCGGCCATGTTACTGTTATCGCTGTGACTTGTGCAAGGAAGTCTGTAATTGTAAATTTTTTTTTCCTTTTCTTTTGAAGCATGTCAGCTATATTGAATATGAATGCACAAATATTTTCGAAAAATTCCTGGGATACTGTTCACTCGTAAGATTAATTTTTTTTATTTCTTAGTAATTTCATAAATATGTTAAAAAAGTACAATGTCATGGTTTCTTCAGATGTGACCAAAAGGACTTAATAATAATCGAAATGTTAAATACAATACATTTAATGTTTTGCGTTACAGTGGTATCTTCGTTCCGAAATACAATGATATATGTAGGATTATAGGCTGCTGTTAATTGAACGCTTAGAGTAATTCGTTTTATACTTTTCATGAAATGTAAGAAATCAATGTTACTATTTTATGAATTAAAGGTGTTAATAAAGCAACGCTTTTCTTTATGTATTAATATTATCATTCTTAACGTTTTGTGAATGTTACGAATATAATTTGTGCATTTGATCAAGATAAAATGTTCTGTTGTTAAAAATGTTTTTGCATAAGCTTACAAATTCTGGGCAGTATAGCGATAAAGTAAGTAAAATATTTACACATTGAACATGTGAAAAGATATATCCAAAAATTTATATAGGTATATTTCTGTAATTCAGCTTAATTCAAGGTAATTTCTTTGAGATTCATAAATATGAAACGCGCATAAACTGAAATCATTGAATTCACATAAATCTGTTTTATTTATAATATTTATTTTCTTGTGATATAAGGTTGTTGATTGTGAAAAGAATCTATTTAAAACTTTCATTAAAAAAAAAAAAAAAAAAAAGCAACATGTTACCATTTTTTTAGAATCATTATCTGCTATTAATTTCAGGTAAAAATGATTCTTTAATAATTATAATAATATTGCGAATAAATCAGAAATATCACTTCTTAAAGAAACATTGGAAGTATACCAGAGAAGTTGCTATTAAAACCTAAACAAATTCTTGAAATTATGCAGAAACATAATTTTAAAGGCTTTAATGTATGCAAATGCATTTAGATTTCGAAATATTTCTTAATGATTTAGTAAATTACAGATATCATCTTTATAACTTTAAAACAAAAAACTAACAATAGCGAAGTATTTCATTATAAATTTAACATATTTTTACTGGAAAATTCATGCATAGAACAGCTCACAAACACGTACGTTTCACTACCGTATTGCAATGTTTTGAAGTAACAAACATGGACGCCGCTTGTTCCGTGGAGTTTCATTCCCCGATAGTGGAGGAAACTGCGAACCCTCCCTCCTTCTATTCTAACCATGGAGATTACTTCCTACCTCCATGATTCTAACCTCCTTGGAAATATCGTATTGCATCGTCGAGTGTGTTGAGCTCCGAGAGCGATCAACCGGGTCGGAAAGCTGTACTTAAGTGCTTTGCCGTGAAGCTGAGAATTGAGTAAAAGAATGTGAAGTTTCACCCTTCTGGAAAATATGAAAGTGAAAATAATTTCATTACTAATCTGCCCTATCCAATGTCCAATTAGAAATCATTCATTTCTCCCAAGATATGTATGTTTGAAAAGCAAGCAAAGGCACAATAAAGAAGATCCTAAGTCTTGCAAAAGATTTAAAGAATGGAAACCTCTAACCAATTCAGAAGAAAGAATTTCGCCAGCTTTTAAATACAGAAACAAAATAAATCTATAAGAATAAAAAATATCCATTTCCTTACCGATGAATTAACTGTACAGCTCAGCTCAAAGTCAAAAGAAAGTAAGTATGCAGAGAGTATGTGATGATGTCCTATGAAAAAAAACAGACCTACAATATTAGAGTTTTCAAATTAACGATTTATTTCGACTACAGCAAAATAGAACTTAATAACAAAATGAAAAGTAATTAAAAAATACAACTTTCAATGATTTTTTGCACTGTTGCAGGACTTTTGCCTATGATTTTAGCGATTTGTCTTTGGGACTTGTTTTCCTTATAGAGCTTTGTTATTGCATCCTTTAGATCTTTTGATAATTCTTTTCCATGTGGAGCCATTGGTGAATTGTTGATGTACTTAAAGCTCAAACTTACAAGCTTTGTAATAGAACTTCTAAACTTATCACGAAAAATCACTCGAGAAGTTTTATTCAGCCTATTTAAAAGTCAAAAATTCCGAGTGCATATATACGTACTTTTGTGATTTAAATTTCTACTAGTAGTTAACAAAATTACTCTTAAAAGTTTTTAAAATATAATGATTTGGTTTATTTTTCATTACTTTATGACTTGAATCAGAAGCTATAAACAACACTCTCCAAAATAATATTTTTCTTATATTTATTTGAGAACTAGAGCTTTTTTCACTTAAGCTATGAGTTGCATACTTACTTTTGTGACTCAGTGTATTTACTACTTTCGCTTGTCTCGAATAATAAAATTTTCCAAATTTTCACCATAGCATCAGTCTCAAACATAGCTCAATCAAAGAACCTGAATCCATTCAAGTTCTTTGACTCAGTGTCATTTTAAGCCTGGACAATTTTTAAGTGATAATAGTTATTTAGATAAAAACTGCAGAAATTCTAGAAAAAAATTATGAAAAATGTTTCAGTCAAAGATACTAAAAGTTTGTTGTATCCGATTTTCATACATTGGAAGTTCGCTATAGCCGTATAAAATACCACTAGGTGTTTAGAAAATTGGACGGGATCAAAACGTTCGTTTGCTATATCATACGTTATAAACCGGGTTAGCTACAGCGGGATTTAACTGTATACATTGCAAATAACATTTTCCCTTCCATACCCCCCTAGAAGTGGTCTTCTAATTTCAAATTCAATATTACGCGACTCGACAACATAAATGCTTTAATATTTTACTGTGCTAAGTATACACTGGGTGAGCACTTCTTTTACTCTGCTTGTATACAATATAAAAAGTCAAAAATATTTATTTCTACTTTCTACATGTCGTCACTCTCTTCCAAATGAGAGAATAAAAATTCAAACAGTAACAAAACTCATCTTTACTGTACTCCATGCAATGCTTTTTAAGTTGTGGAATATTCAGTGGTGGCTAGAATTTCTCTCATGATCTAACAATAGATCGACACCCTTAGAAAGAACCCCACTGCATTATTCTATTGTGCTGATTCGTTCCTAGAAACCGGCATTTTATTTCATATGTGTGTATGTGTGTTGTCTTCAAAAAAGGAAAAAGACAGAGAGCATGAAAGCTTCATCGCAACTGCTAAGAAAAAAAAAAAAAACTTATTCTAATCCCATTTCCTGTTTTTATTTCTTAAAAGCAAGCCACTCTTACGCACGCGTTGTGCAGGTGTCACGATGGTGAAATACAAAGGAGGGGAAGAGAAAAATTCGTTACTACAAAACACCTGCGCATAAGAAAAACGGAGTTGCCGAATTTAGATGAATGAGTAATACTGCTAGAAAAGGGGTTTAATGTATTAGCCGTGGTGACAATTAATCAACTGGGAATAATTAAAAATACTGAGATCTGGAAAAAAAAATAAAAAAGTTATTAGATAATACAATCGACTTTTGGGAAGACGGAAATGCACCTCAGAGGGAAAAACACATAAAATCAATATACGTAATAATTTATTATTTGTAGCCCTGGATAGTCTAGTGATTATTGGATTGGATTGGATTATTAAATTATGGCAAAGCACACGAGGGTTATCTTTCTAAAGGGAGGGATGCCTTCGTAGAGGACTTTCTAAGGGAAACTGGCTCGTATACACATTAACCATGGGGAAACGCCTATGCAGCCAGCCCGTTCGCGGGATTCGAACCTCGGACCGAACTACCAGTGTTCAGCGTCTTTACCGCTCGGCTGCTGGTGGGCCTAGCGATTGTGAAGGTTGACTAGTATTCCATAATGGTTTAGGATAGAATCCCGTGCAAGACTTCACTGTTTATGTGTGCCCATCTTCCCCTCTTCTCGCGGATGAAATATCGGTAGTCCAGGATAAAATGCATCAAACGAATTGATGATAAGTCGGCTGAATGATCGATGGCTACGGGCATTCTCGATGAATAAATTAAGTGGCGAGTAGCTGGTCATTTGGTTAACACAAATTATTTTTAGCATCTGTTTGCTTACTTATTTTAGTAATAACACGATGATAAGCAAAAAATGTGAAATGAAAGTTTTAAAGCTGTGAAAAATCTCGCACGAAAGAAAGAAGATTTTTCACAAAACTTAAAATATTATTTTTCTTTTTCAAAATACAATTATTAATAACTGACGATGTTGATGCAACTCTTGATTAAAACTCATATGTTATCACACGCACAGTTGAACGAGACATTCTTTAATTTAAATTAATAACAGGGTATGCAGTCCAAATAGTGTCGAATACAACAAGCAAATAAGCTTTACAAAATTTTAAAAAAAATCCTGCTCTTAACTAAATTTAATTATTCAAATTTGAAATCAAAATCCAAATAAAATAAATAAAACGTAGCTGAAAACAAAAGGATGGAAAATTGTATCTTATACACTTGTCAGGAGGTTTTCCAATCATATGTTGAAAGCTTCAGAGACCGACGAGCAAGCATGGATAAAAATTTAAAACCTTCAAAATTGCTTCCTTCTGTCGCTATGTAGTTTTTTAAGGTGTCAACGTTGTTGCCGATAGCAGCAGAAACCCTTTCATCACTTTGTTGTTGGACGGCAGAAACTCTTTCTTGAATTTCTCCAACTTTGTCTTCAACTGTATCTATTCTTCCTTCCATAGCCTCTAACTGGTTTTCTATTATAACTGGCAAGTAATTTCTCTTTTCATTTCCTCTTGACATACCTTTGTTTCTCTTTTAACAGCTTTCTCTTCTTTAACGGATTCTTGGCGGGCGTTCACCTCCTCTTTAAAGAATCTTAACCAACTTCCATCTCCTCTTTAGATGAAGCAAAAGCTGCAATCAGCTGTCTTAACTGTTCTTCCATCGCTCTTGTGATTGGCATTCAAACCCCACTGACAAAGAAAAGGGTTACGTGCGTACGGGTTCGTAATGGATTGAATGTACAAGTCGAAAAAAAGTTAATAAAATTTATTTTTATCCTAAGAAATAAAACAAAATGCTGAAATTTTCTCAGAGATATTCGTACAATACCACAATATCACACAGTAATTATATTTTAACTACTAAAACGTTAACTAGAACACAATTCAAAGCGAAGAAAAAGCTTATCCGATCTCACCGCGAATTCGCTACTGTCAACAACAAATAAGTAAACAACTGAACTGAGATGTTTTTCTCCGGCTTTTTAATTTTAATCGTGCACGAGGACATTCTGGTAATATTACTTTTCTCAAGGTTGGAAAGCAATAGAGTAGAATTACAGTTACAGCTAACATACATTGCATTTATTAATTTAATATCAATTACGGTGATAACTATTTATTAAATGCGCGTGCTCCTGTATTTTAAATTTTCCGGCGTAGTTTTCTCTACAAATAAGTCTCTTATACGGGAAAATAAAACAATTTGAATTACAAATTCTACTAAAAATAGCAAACTAAATACAAAAACCGTAACACTACAAATAATCTTCTTTTAATTACCATTTTTGATTGAAATGTAGTAAATATAAAAGGTTCAGCATGTGTGCGTCATATATTTCAAGGTTTTTGAATTTTTTCCTCCCCTCTAATGGAATTTAAGAATATTCAAACATGATACCTTTGAAACAGGTATATTAATTTCATAACTGCAAAATATTGAGCATTCATAGAGTAGTGATGCCATTTAGAAGCAAAAGCAAACAGTAGAAACTTACTATTGCAGCTTTTGGCATTTTTAGAAGGTTAAAAAACTGACAAACATTAAAAGGTTAACGGTCTCCGTATTTACAAAATCTAAAATCTTTCTCAGCGAAGTTACAAGCTACAGGTTGGCAATTAAAAACTAGCTCAAATTTCAACAAGCTACGTCATGAGATTCTAATGCTTTTTGCTAAGAGCCAAGCGTGTTGGGCATACAGCCAAAGTCAATCCAAACATTCCCACATTTACGAAATCTTTTCTCTAACTTTATACTAAACTGCTTGCCATTCAAATCTACATAATTCTCTGGAATGAACAAGTCGTGACGAAATGAGGTACATAAAAAAGACTGAAATTAAACTTAAATTTGTTATTGAAACTCCACTGTAATGACACACAGTTATCAGATATGGCAGATTAAATGTAACCATTAAATTTGACATCTACTTAAAAAAAAAATTTTTTTAAAAATAAAAAAACTGCTAAGCATTCTATTATTTGCATCTTAAACAGAAGATAAATAACTTTATTAGTTGTTTCAGAAAATTTTGAATAAATATCAGCTGAACGAACAGTAATACAGGATTTGAGCTTTCAAATTTTTTTTACAGGTTATAAAATATTCATATCATGCACTTTGACAGCTCCAATATTTTGCATTAACATTTGACTAATTTTATCCATAAATAAATATCACATCACATGGAAATGTGCATATTCTCTATGCCACATTTTTTCTTTATTTTTCTTTGTTTATTTATTTTAATCTGCATGGAAATGCTTCAAAAACCAATAAGGAGAATTGCTCTGTCTTGAAATGCAATCCAAGCATATAATTCCAAGGAAGGCAGTGAAATGTATGCAGAAACTAAAATAAAGTGATACAATCAACTGAAAACAAACTTTCCGGGCTCCTTCAAATCTGCCACTTCAAAAAAGTTGTTGCTTTATTGCTTGCTTACAAACACTATGCTAAGTACATCTATGAATTGCGCAGTTGCTTCTTCTTAAACTGTGGTGT